AAAACAAGTTTTATTCATGAAAGTTTGTACCTGGTATATAGGTTGTTTCCTAAGCACCATATTGCATACCTGCATGGGCATAGCTTGGGTGAGTCATCAGGTGCGAACGGCCCTCTTTTGAATCTCAACTAAATTTTGATGGTCGCTTAAAATTAAATGCAGTTCTCCTAAAACTGCAAAACGTGGTTTTATAACTTCATAACCACTTTCGTTTGTTAACGGCAAGTTTGGGGATTCGATACTCGCAGTGGGCAGAGCACAAATAGCCCATTGTTAGGTTTTGTGGTTAATACCAAACAAATCGATCAATTTGGCACGAACCTTACTACGAACTGGACTGCTAACGCCCGAGGGCTTGCTTAGGCCTACTTGTGTTGATTAATAAACGGTCTTCCTTGAAAAGATCTGGCGACGCCCCCCCCCCGACCAACCTTACTCGCTATTATCGCAAACTGTCATTTTTCGTTATCCCCCCCCCTCCCTCTCTCTCTCGACAGTATAAGATTGAGATGAATAAATTGTGTCACATTAAAAGATAAGGATGAACACAGTCCAGAATAGATGGCGCTTACAGTAGGCTTGATATGCAGATTTAGAATGAGGGGAAAATCATCTTTGGCACGTGTTGTACTGTGTTTCCGGTGAAATGTTTTTTGAGATATAATCATATTAACCATTAATTTTATTTAGAAACATCCTGTATTATAATTAAACATTTTTTGTTTTACGCTTCTGCAATTTCAAATTACACTTTAAATTTAACTACATAATGCGTGGATATATATTTTTAATTTGCGTAACGGTAACTTGTGTTCTTAATTTACGGGTTGCTCTTACATCATCAGAGCGTTTATTTTATTTAACCCTATCTCGCTGTTACCTATCGTTAACAATAAAATGCTTGCAAAAAAAAAACGTACAACGTGAGTTTGAAGATCTCAGGCCAGTAACTGTGGTATTGCCAGATACATTTTCCATACATAATGTTTTTTTGGCAGTTTTTGTCCAAATATTTTTATAGGTGCAAACCGTGTGTTTACGTAATTTATTGGGAATTAAAAGATGCATCAGAATCCACCCTAAATTGAAATTGTCACGTGCATTACGGAGTGCTGTTACCTTAGTTTTATTTTTCTGACACATTGGATTACCTGTCGACGTCTTAAAACCTCGTGAAAATTAACTGCGTAAAGCTTATTATAAGTCTTGAGAAGAATGCATTATAAAAAAAAAAATTAGAATTTTGAAGTTTTAGTAAAACCTGCCGTCTATGTAAAAACGGCAATATCCTTATGTGTTTGTGATACACCACTAAATGATTTTATATTGTACAATTAAAATTAATTTTTCTTTATATCAAAAGTACAATAATACAAAATGGCAAAAAAAGTTTAAGTATGAAAATAGTTTATACTATTTATACAAAAATAACATCTGTATCAAGTTTTAATACAACTAAAATATTTTAACTATTAAATAAATAAAATGAAACTAAAGGTAGCTTCATACCCCTCAGAACAAATTTAGTTTTTAGTTTGTGATTGTAATCCTTCAACTAGTGAGCAACAGTAGTTAAACCTCAAACTACAAGTAACATGATTGCATTCACCAAATAAAATACAGTGCCTAGCAGGACAGTTTCAAGTTCCTTCTAGCCACAGTTATATTCATTAAATAAAATATTCTAACAAGATTTAATACAGAGTTTTTAAGAAACAATTTCCTCCCTATTAATTGCTCTGACCCTGGCATGTGGTCATCAATTGCATACATATGCAGTAACCTTGGATGAAGTTAGAAGACGTGGCTTCTGGAAATATCCCCTTAATTAATTGTATTTCGTTTTATTTGTAACCCAATACTAAAGACAGCTAAAACTATGCCTATATTAGTTAATATACAGCAGTGTAATAAGCCGTGGTCGTCAAAAGAGTACGCAAAACAAAAGGTTATGTGTGTATAATAATATAAATGGATCTTCGAGATTGAGTATGTTAACACAGGAGTAGTGGTTAGTTTGTTGTTGTTGTTTTTTCAGTTTGTTGAATGCTTGTTCACAATCAGCAGTCCAACAAAACTTATTTGTTTGTTTAAGTAATTTTTATACAGTAAAAGCAGTGTCAGAACAGTTTACTACAATAGTAAGAGGACAGTCCAAAAAATCCTCTTGTGTCTTGCAAGCTCTTTGGGGCTTGTCAATTCTGAATAGATTCAATCTTAGATGAGTCTATGTAACCCAGGTATCTCAGCTGTTGATGGAAAATTCACGCTTCTTGGAATTTAAGTTAAGGTTCTCTTTTCTCAACCAATCCAGAACTTTCCTTAGAACATCATACTCATCAACTTTGATAACATAATCACACATGGGAAAACCTATGAGCATACTCTATTAGTCGTTGTAGGTTTCATTACATAATTCAAAACAATTGCCACAATCCATTTCCTTCTGTAAAGGCTGTCTTTCTCTACTTCCTTTCTCAACTGGCACTTGCCAATATCCACTCTTCAGATCCTGTGTTGAAAACCATTTTCAACAAGTAAAGCCTCCAAAGTAAACATAATTATCGACAATAAAAATACATCTTGCTTTGTGACTTCAGTCGTCTTCCACACAGAACATTGATGATTCATCCTTCGTCTTCAATGTACAGTATATATGATGCCCTAAGATTAGTATTTAATTCAGTAACTCCTTGTTCTTTCATGGCCTTTATCTCTTTGAAAATTTCATCCTTATTTACAAGAGGGTGTCGTCTGCCTAATGGGTATTTTTGGGCTGCATCTCCAGTATCAAACTTATGAGATAGTTTCTTTGTTTGGTCTAAATATTGAGGTTCACTGGAGAAGTTGTCTTGATATTCTATTAGCAAGTAATGACACTGTTCAGCTGTAACACCTCCATAGCTCTTGTAAGTGAGGTTGGTAAGCTGTAGTTATGTGATGAGTTGATAACAGTCAACTAATAAGTGAGCATCGAAAATGTTTTCAATAGGAAATTAACATCGAGAAACAATGAAATAGATGGTCAGTTGTTTTTTTTTTTTTTTAACCTAAAGCAGGTAGAGGTAAAACAGGATCACCATTAGGGTACTTACTTTCGAATAACTAAGTTAATCTTCACGAAATTAAATTACCCAAACACATTTTTATTTCAATTTCTCTACTTCAGCAAAGTGAATGGAAAATTAATTAATTCCATTTATATTATCATGCAAACGAAAATGCAAGATGGATGAAGTGAGGACCAATTTTTGATACCTTCGATTCGTCTATTATTTAGGCAATACAAACAAAACTTGAAATGTTTTATAAGAATCTATATATATATGTGTGTACAATGTGTACAGTGTACAATATATGATGCCCTAAGATTAATATTTAATTCAGTTACCCCTTGTTTCTTCATCGCTTCTATCCCTTTGAAAGTTTCAGCCTATTTTACAAGAGGATGTCGTCTGCCTAATGGGTATTTTTGAGCTGTACCCCCATCACTGAAACCATAATGGGCAGACATTAATCGAACTGTTCTATCTGGATAAACGCATTTTAGCTTTATGATTCCTCCTATTTCGAGAAATCAAACGTAACATGGCGTAACACACATTGACTTTTACATTGATTAGATTATATTAGTGTTTACATGTCTATAGTAAATGTTGCATCAGTACATTAACAAATCCCATCACCGAACATGCTCGCCATTTCAACCGTGAGAGCTTTATAAATGATGGAGAATCCCACTTTTCTTTGGTAAAAGAGTAGCCCAAGAGTTGGCAGTGTTGACTATCTACCTACCATCTAATCTATCACTTTTAAATTAGGGATGGCTAGCGCAAATATCCAACGAGTAGCTTAGCGCGAAGTGAGGGAGGAAGAGGTCACTGGAACCTGACCCTCTCAGGTCTTCAAGATCTGAATCTCGATACTGTAGCGATATAACCAATTTCTTTCTTTATGGCCAAAGAAGAGAAACTTTTGTTATTTAAAACTAATTATTCAAAAATCTACCATCAAGTTCCGCTTTTCCTCACGTTAATGAGACTTGAATAATCTGTATCATTAAATTTAGACTGATTGGTATAAAAACTGAGAGGAAGAAACAGCAGCACATAAATCTTAAAATGGTTCACAAGACGAACAAGGTTTTCTGTTTGTTTGTTTGTTTTAGGGAAATGCCACATTGGGCTATCTGCTGTTTCAACCACGGGAAATCGAACCCCGGATTTTAATGTTATAAGTCCTTAGAATTATCGCTGTAGGTTTTTTTGTTAAATGTACAGCTTTATAATACTCTAAATATTATGTGTTCATTAAAAATTATTAATTAATTTATATTTCAACATAAAATGCATTTGACTTTTTCTATAGCTAAATACCTTCATCCTGATAGTTTTAAATGTTTCTTAAATATTTCAGACTCATACATCTCCGTTTAAAACAATGAAACAACGTTAAAATAAGCGGTGTGTAAAACTATTAGTTTCCTACAATAATCACAATACGTTCTTTAGCACATCGACAGATGTCACTGTAATCAGGCTTCATAATACTGGGCGTATTTTTGTCTGCTCAATAAAGCTGAAACACTTGAAATAGGAGCTGTTATTTCATAAACAAAAATCTCTCACAGTAAAAGTATTTGCCGAAAATATATTCTTTTTAAAACAATACAATTAAAATATATCCATGTTTGTAACATTACACTTATCCGGACATGTTGACCAAGTTTTTGCAACTGTGCAGTATTAATTGCTCAACTGTACAACCACCGCACTTTTTCAAAATCATTGCACCGGAAGTGTGGGTTTCTCCTCTTCCTGTTATGGAATAATGTAAATGTATATTCCTAAATAATTTGAGATTCTAGTGATAATAGAAAGTTGTATATACTTAAATGTCCTGTTTATTCTGAAGTTAAATTTTCTTTTGCAGTTGATAATTATTGAAGGAATTTATAGAACTAATTGATAACTGCGGATTTGTACAAATGATCCTCGCGGCTGGAACCCAAACCAAGTGTGTTTGACAGTACGAACACATGCGGGAGAGAACTCATACCGGTGTGGGGTTGGTTATTGAAAATGGCTGATCATGTTGCGGCAGGTAATACCACTAATAATATGTTTTAATATTTGTTGAGTATTGAACTCTGTTTTAAGTCTTAAATTTATTTTCGTTCAGTTTGGCACAAAAATATGTAGTTTTATTTTATCTTAACTTCTCTTTCTCAGAAAAGGAATACCGGGAGAAGCTGCTGCGTATGGTGAAAAAGGAGGTGAGTGACTTGTGACGTTGTTTATCGAGATAAGACTAAGTCATTTACGTTTTGGTCACCTGATAGTATATCAACAGTCTTTTAAGTTCTGATTGAAAAATATCTTTTTTCTATTGCGGATATAATCATAGAAAATAAAAATTTAAATCTGAATAGTTAGTTGCAATGTGTTGTGATTGTGAATTACTGACGAAGTCAGTTTATGGTGAACACTGACATTGAAGTATATTAATATTTGCGATATTTATTTATTTTCATTTTCTTATATATTTCAAAAAATAAATACATTATTGTTTAATAAATATAAATTTCTTTTGATATTCAAATATAAAACCTGGGATTAAGCTGTAACTTTTAGTGTTAATTGGAATACAGAAACTTAGCAAGAATAGAATAAATACATTATAAAACGTTAAATATTAGGCTATAGAAGTAAATAAGAGATTGTGATGTTCAAGACTTATGCTTGGCTGGTTCATATTCCTGATGGGAAAATACCAAAGCCTGGCATAGAAACGTAATTTTACAATATAAAAACATTTCTTGGGCATTGTAACAACACTTCTCCATAAGCCTGGCATAGTAACGTAATTCTACAATATAACAACATTTCTTAGGCTTAGCAACATAACATTACTCCCAAAGGGTTTGTTGTCCATCTAAACCATCCCATCCACTATATTAAACTAAAAGTAAAACACTAATCAAACTGTTACCATTCAAATATTTATCAATTATTCACTTAAATTAAATTCATCTACCACAGTCTGTTCCAATGACCAATCACCCTGTTAGAAAACTAAAACAGTCTTAGCTGGAGCTGACTCCTACCTTGTCAGTTTTTTTTATATTCAGTGTCCCCTAGTTTTACCATTAAATATGAAAAAAATAATTCATCAAAACTATCAATTCCCCTTACAAGCTTAAACACCTAAGTTAAATCCCCTCCAACTTGCTTTTTCCAGAGAAAACAACCTTGGATATCTTAACCTATTCTTGTATGACAACCTTTCCTTCCCAGTTATTATCTTAGTAGCCCTCCTCTGAACTCTTAACAATAATTTAATATCCTTTCTAAGGAAAGACACCAGAGACTGCACACAATACCCCAAATGTGGCTAAACCAACAATATTATAGTTGCACCTAGTTCAATAGTGGCCAAATGTGACCTAAAAATTGACCTACACAATGGAATTCTAACCTTTTTTTGATTTTTATTCAGTATTTCTGTAGATGTAATGAGAAATCCTATGTTCCCTGCTACTAGCAACAGCATCTTGCTTGGATGGTTAAGAAACTGGTCAACTAGAATTACACTGTTAAGGTTTTCCCATTAAGATCGTACTCGTAATTCAAACCATGATGTCCTACATGCATCACCTTTTATATATTATAATGAAAAGCCATCTGCCATTTATTTGCCAAACTCACCAAATAATCCAAATCCTTTGATCCTCATCACAGCCAGAAACACCCAAGACCTTAATATCATTAGCAAATTTAAATAATTTATTGACCATTACTTCATTTATGTCATTCCTATAAATCAAAAAGAGCAAAGGTCCCATGAATGAGCCCTGTGGTATCCCACTTGTGATAGTAACCCAGATCGACTGAATACTGTTTATAACGATCATCTACTTTCTTCTATCTTTCCAGTTTTGTATCCAATGAGCCAACATATCCCCCATCAGATGTACAGAGATAATTTTTCAACAATTTTTTTGTGTGATGCTTTGAAAAAAAAATTTATCCTTTGACCTCCAATACTTTACATTTTATTACTTATCCATTTTGTTTTTTTGTTTTCTATGCTCTTCTGTTGAAATCTTCTCGCTGTATAGCGGGTGTAACCCTCTAGTAGTCCGCCAGTTCTTGACTGAAATGAAAAGCCATTTTTCTTTACCTTCAAATCTTCAGTGGGGCTGACCCTGGAGTCGTATGTGTATGCATGGTATCATACTTCATGGCCTAGGATTTGCTGTGTTCAATAGATTGGGAGTGATATCAGTGGATGAAGTCTAAAACATTGAGGTATGAATGCTCCAAGCTAGGTATTAAGTCTATTTTGGGAGTGGTGTCCACGAGGAAGATTTAAAGGGAAGAAGACTGCTATATAATGTATTGTTTTGATAATTAAGAAACTGGTGTTATTAAACTCAGACATCAATAACGTATACAGAGATCTGTCAAATGCACAAAAACTTCAGCTACTTTATGCATTGAATATTAACTTATATAATTTTTTCTTTATTTCTGGCGAAATTGTTTCGACAAATATCATATTAGTTCCAAACAGTAGGTGTATAAAACATAGTGACGAAATATAAAACTATTATTAAATATGGAAGTGATGTATGTTTAAACTCAATTCACTGCGAAGTAGTGGTTTTCCTTTCTATTATTTCCCACAAATATACGTGTATTAGAAGAACAGGATAACATTACTGTTATATATATAAATTAAGCTGGTTTATATACTTTGAGTAAAACACATTTTTAATTACTACTTTCAAAAGATATAGAACAGAAAACTTAATTTTGTGCATGGAATAGTCCAAAACTGTCCGTGTATAAAACATTGTGTGCTGCTATCTAGTGACGGAATATAAAACTATTAATACATATGGAAGTAATATATGTTTAAATTGAACTCACTGCTAAATTTTGGTTTCCTATTTATCATTTTCCCACAAAATAGTGAAGTAGGAAAACTTTGACAGCCAGGTAGTATCTGACAGAAGTGGATCAGCTCTATTCTGATAAAGGTATCAGTTATCTCTCAATAGATGGAAAAAAAATTAAGAAAAATATTTGGAAGTTCAGTTATCTCTCAATAGATGGAGAAAAAAACTAAGAAAGAAATACTTGGAAGTTCAGTTATCTCTCAATAGATGGAGAAAAAAACTAAGAA